ATTTTATTTATTTATTGTGTTTATTGTCTTAACGTTTCATCAGTTCATTCTGCTTTTTATTCAGATTAGCTGCAGATTTAGCCTGGCACGTCTTAAGTTCTATGAGCGCGAGATCAATTCTCTTTAGCGCGAAAACTTCTTTATCTCATTTTCATAAAATAAAATGCTATAGTATTTAACTTTTCCTCTCCATCGGCGAATGATGATTCTGAAAGAAAATGAGCCCGATGTCTGTTTGATATAGCAACGAACGCTACTTTCATGCATTTGATTATCAGATAAACCTCGCGCTCTTATTTCTAGGTTGTTGTTCATGCTTGTGGTTATTTTAACAGTTTCCTTCGTACATTCGGTTCAACGACATTGTTAGAACACATTTATCATTCAATGGAACTGTGCGTATGCTTTAGACACTTACATTTTTGCTCTGTCCATGCAATAAATGCGCAGCCTTCGACTGCTCAGGTAATGTCGTCGGTATGACCGAGAGCCATTGAAAAACTACAGAAAAGTAAAACTACTTCACTTTAAAGGGGGCATAACACACCCAGTTTCACCCAATCTCATGTTAATCTTGAGTACCTATAGAGTAGTACTGCATCCTTCATATCGCCAAAAAGTCTTTAGTTTTATCATATTTATAAAAGATACAGCTTTTCGATTCTCTCCGGAAAAAGTCGAGCTCCTGGAGGCGCGCCGTGGGCGGAGCTAAAGAGTGACGAGCACTTGAGCGCCGAATGCCAACAAAACAGACATTTGATGCCGTTTCACTTACCGTGAAAGATCATGACCGGGATCTTTTATAGCTGGGACGCTCCATCTTTCAGTATCAAACGATGTGCAAATCCAGCCCAACAAAACAGACATTTATTTGATGCCCACTTACCGTCTGCAGTTCTGAATCATGATCGGGATCTTTTATAGCTGGGACCGCTCCATCTTTCAGTATCAAATGATGTGCAAATCCAGCGTCGAACTGGGCCTTGTTTTTTAAAACGTTCGTCAACAAACACACTTGTGAAACTCCGTTGCTGCTTACAACCAAAAACATTGGTTTGGATTGGAGACATTCTTCCCGAGCAAGTCCCGTGCAGCGCTGCCGCCAGATGAAGCGCGTTGATGGGCGCGATCTCGCTCTTGCTCTGGTCTATGCATGCGCGGGCGCGTTCTTGTGGGAGAAATGCCCATATAAGGAGTTCCACCCTCGTTTGCGTCATTAAGAGCCACAATCGAAAAAAACTTGTACGAACCCGGAAGTAAGATTTTTGGCACAGAAATACTCTGTCATATGTCCAAATTATTTTTTGAAACTTTGTCCATGCTTAGCATGAGAATCCAACTCTATAACAGTGTAAACGACTCTGAATGCATGAACCAGCATTGTAACCCCCACCACTTAACATTACTCGAGTCCTAAGGAGAGATCACACATCAGCTGCTCAAAAAATGTGTCAGTGAGACGAACGGACCGCGAGCGCAATCCTGTGACAGTCGGTAAATAGTGGAGCGCGTGAAGGAGAGATGCGAGGCACGAACATTGTTCAAGGTCTCCATTAATTCGTGCTTGTAGTAATTGAATGTGTATATATTTTGAAAGCATTGAATCGCTATAGAAATCGCGATTCATTCGATTCTTAGCGTTTTAAATCGATTACTATCCGAAATCGGCGATTCACGATTCAAAAATCATGTTTCAAGATCGATGCATATGCATCGTCAGGGTTTGTAATCGATGCATCGATAAAACGAGTGAATCGTTACACCCCTAATATAAATGTATATCTTTGTTGAATAGAAAATCTGAAACATGTGAATACATTAAAAAATTTATATGTATATGTTTATGTTTTAAACCCCTTTTAAAAATAAATAAATAAATAAAACAAATAAAATGTACAAGATTTCTTTTGGAAAGAAACAACTTATGGAACAAAAATACTAGGGCTATAAAAAAAGGCATTCTTCAGAAAATGTTCTCAATGTAACATTTGAGTTTCATTTATTGAACCGACCCCTCTTGTAAAAGCAGCACCCCAGCCTTCAAAACCCCATGTCCAGATGTGTCTCCCTCCCTCTCTTTAGCTGCTGCCCAAATGATAACTCGCCCTTTGTCTCTCTCACTGAGCTGGGTAATATATAGCTGTGAGGCGTCCTGACATAGTTATATTTGCTGGTGTCCTAGAAAAGACAAGGAGACTCAATTACAATGGCAGCAGAGCGAGTGCCTTTACGAATGTCAACTCTTCGCCCAGACGCAGCGTGATGAATCACACCTGACCTCACACCAGGCGTCCATTTCTCAGCAGCCTGCGCACCAGTGTGGACTAGTAAATGAGAAATCAGGGTGGGGTGGCGCGAGGTGTAGGGGGCTCGGTTTTCGAGAAGTGTGTGTGTGTGTTTGCGTGCGGGGCCAGAGGTCACAAAGATGAGACAAACAGTGGCGAGCCCGCAGACGTCCTTGCTCGCACTGCCTGTTGAGAGAGGAGCAGCGTAGACACTGTGGAATTGTAAGCAGTTGTTTAAAGCTTTTAGACAGGGGGGTTTAGGGAGCGTTCCGTTGGGAGGCTCGACGGCCCTGCTGCAGCTTGTGTGATGCTCTCCTGCAGCTCTGTCAGGAGGAGAACTAACCTGCATCTCTGTTTGTCCACACACACATGTACGCACACAAAGTGCTGCCTGCCTGCCAGCAGCCTCCTCTTACTCCAGGCAGAGTGTAATCCTTGTTGACAGAGAGCGAGTGTGGTTATTAGGTCACTTGTGTTTTCATGCTGTACTGTAAAGCACTTAGCAGGCTGCAGTGGCAGTGGCTCACAGACTCACACCAGCGCTGTGGCAGTTCAGAGCCACTCTCCTCCGGGAGAAGAGACCTCTTATCCCGCCACTGCACCGTCTGACCCTGGCAGGACGGTGGATGAGGAGTGGTGGGTGGCTGGGTCAGAGACGGCTGTAACGCTGCCCTGGGCCAACTCTGAGGGCAGGCAGGGGAGTCCCTAGCCTCCTGGGAGAGGGAGGGTGGAATGAGCAACAGGCAGACACAAGGGCAAAGGCAGATGTGTGCAAGGATAGATGAGGAGATAAATCACAGGCTGTCAGAGCACGAGGCATTTGCATTCCCGAAATGGAGCTTGCACTGGCGGTGGGGTACGAAGACCTCTGCATGCGTAGAGTCCAGCTCAACATCAAATGTGGATGCGATTCACATGCAGCTGCAGAGGAGTTAGGTCATTTGTTTATTAAGTAAGCGTAGAGTCCAGCGCAACATCAGATGTGGATGCGATTCACACACAGCTGCAGAGGAGTTAGGTCATTTGTTCATTATGTAAGTTGTGACCTGAATTACACTGAAAGAGTGCTTTTAAATGTTAAAGGAGTTCCTAAATAAACATCTGATAGAGCACAAAAATTATTTGTTGCACAGAAATGGGCCAAATATTCTAGAGCTTTTCAGGGTATTACATTGGGTAGCAAAAAGGATGAAATTTACTAGATTTATCGTGCACTTTCAAAAACAGCACACACTTTAAACTGATTGTCAAAGTTCAGAGGACACACACAATGTTGGAGGTAGGGGTGGATTGGGTCATGTGATTATAGTTTATAGTTGGCAGGCCATCTGTGATGTATCGTACCTGTGTCCTGGACTTATTCAATGTCATATGGAAGGACAGGACACCCTTTTGGGATGTGAATGGTCTCATCAGGTTGTTTCGTTGACGCTTTGACTTCATGAAGAAGAAGAACTGTGAAACTAAGAAACAAAAAAGATTAAACAGTCTGAGTCAAAGTCTATCTATTGATAGAAGCATTAAAAATATGGAAAATCTGTTGTTGTGCACAGTAGGACATACTGTGCACAACCCTGTTTTATTACAATACCCCAAAATGTAATACAAAAACATATGATTTATGATTTATTACAAAAAGATATGTAATATTTATTGAGAGACAAGAATGTTTAAACAGGTACAAATTATTACTTGGAACAGTAAAAGAGCAGAATGTGTAACAAAGAGCAAGATCATGATGCATTTTCTATTTTGGGATACATATTATGTACAGATTAACATTATATATAATGCATATTTAATGATTATTTACTACAACACTGTATAAGATATTAATAAAAAAATGTCAGTCTTTGATATGAGATTTTCCCCCCCTAATGCACTAGCCTATTTTTTTTCACTTGGTTTGATGTTAAAAACAAGAGGGAAAAAATCAGCAAAGTAAGAAAAAATATACAATCTCTGAAAACAAGTCTTAATTTCTTATGCAGTATGCATCTTTTTTGTAAATGATTTTTAGATATTTTAACTGGAAAACAAGTTACAAATGTCTTTCTTATTAGTCCAGCATTCTAATATTGAAACATAATGATTTAAAAAAGCATATTTAGCTGAATGCACACTAAATACATGATGGGCTAAAACATAATTTAGCAGTATTCAGCTATTTAGATGCTAGAGCCCTTTCTTCCTTTCATGGCACATGGAAAAGTAAAGGCTCTGACCATGCTTCTACTCACAGTGTGCAAATCATATAGTTGGTATTCAAAGTGTCAGTGAAACAGTTAAGCAACATCAAATGATGACATTGGCTTTGCAGACCTCTTTCCATGATGTCAAGAGCATAGTGAAGCTTAAAGGGGATTACAGTCTAATTCTATCGTTAAGGCTCCCAACTAAATTGACTTGGCTGAGTGCATATGGTGGACTAAAGCAAACTTCATTTTTCGGTTGATAGGCGCAATGGTTGGGGCACAGAAGGGTGCAGAGGACAGAAAGTCAGGGAGAGACAAAGAGAGGAGAAATCAAGACTAAGAGAACTCATGGTTCGCTGGAGGGTGGACGGGTGGGGAACTGTCATCAGGAAACCCTTGTCGGCCCGGAATGAGGAGTGCTGAGTAACTAATGAGAATGTTTTACACAAGAAATGTATCAAGGCTGAGGAGACACATCTGGGTATGCAACTCACACAAAGAGTCATCCAGCTCAAAATCCTTTTTTTATTGCTCTAAGTGCAATCCTCCCATTTGAAACCCAGCCAGATATCGAGAGGGAGCGAAAAAGAGACAGAGGACAGAGGGAAACAGCTGGGTTTCCTAAGCAGAATGGCTGCTAAGGCTGAAGGGAGAGAGGGATGGCTTTCTATGGAGAATATGGAGGAGAAATATAAACTCCAAGAGAAGTTGCTGGGAAGAAAGCCATGAAACAAGTGAGTTAAAAAAAGAGGGAAACCAAGGAGGACAAGATCAAGATCAGGGCCAAGGAGAAGAGATTATGAAGAACTAATAATGAAACATCGCAAGAGTGAGAAAGGAGGGGGAGTGTCGACGGCGGTTCAGGAAAACAAGCGAGAAAGAGATAGTGGCCAAAATCAGCGGAAATGTAATGCGAGAGAGGCAGGAAAAGGGATGCATGGCTCTGATTTGTGAGATGAGATGAACTGAAACGGGATGGAGGCAAATTCCAGGAAGACGTCTGAAAGCCAGAAAATGAAGTCACCTGTGCAAATACAACTCATATTTACTCATTGTGGAATAATCATATGACAGTTCCCCGTTTTATCTGTCTTGGTCAGGACTCTCAGGAAGAGGCCTGGGTCTAGAAAAACAAACACAACTGCTAAAGCAAAACGATCGTATGCGCTTGGCTCACTGAATGCGAGTCGAGCAGCAACCGCTACCCCAATAAGCAATGAACTATGAGCAACCGAAAAATACTAAAATAATTTACGGCTGTAGACTCATTCAGAACGTTCCTTTGGAATCATGAATCGAGACTTTTTCTTCCAGCAGTTGTCAAAAGAATTGAAATATGCCGACCGCAAAAACAAGATCAGCAGCAATAACAAAACTAACCCATGCAAACTTCAACATGGGATGTGAACACATGTTCCCAACTAGTCTGCCAATTACTCTACCTCAGATTTACTGTTGTTCTCAATTAAAGAGCAGTTTGGCAACAAACAATAACATGTGTTGTGATGCTGCGGTTGAGCCAAGTTAATGTTTCATATTAGAGCTCCCGCAACTACTCACCAGGCCCGAACCCATGCTGTTTAGTGCATACTTCACTTAACGGGGTGCTCATAAGTCATTATGCACGCCAAAGTTCTGCTGGGCCATAATGAGCGAAACAAAAAAACTCCTGCACAAAAGCATGCTACACGTACAGACGACAATCGCAGGAGCTCCTTCCAAATATTCCAACTCATAAACATTTCAAAAAGTATTAGAGGGTGCATGGGATTTACAAATCCAGGGATTTTCATCAACTACTGCCTTAGGACTTGATTGGGTGTTTTTTTAATGGATTTGATTCAAAGAATGGCTATATATTCTTGATGGACGTTTATAGTGAATACAGAGCTCCTTGTTTTGAATGTTCAGAACAGACTCCTATCGACGTGTTTGAAAAGGCGATGAACACTAAAGTGGTTCATCTGTCTAACAGATGAGTTTTATGGTCATGCGCATGTCAGCCACCAATTCTCTGCATTTCAGGATAGTAATTTAGGGCGGCTGCATATTTCGAGCATTTCAGTCGGAAGTCACATATTTGTAATTGAATGTTTGAGCTCTCTTTTAAGCCACTTAATGTGTGCAATCCGATATAGTGTTTGCAAACCGTTTACTCGTGACCTGTGCTTTCCCTTTCCTTAAGCCATTCAAGAGAGCCAGCAAAAGCAAAGTGCCTTTTAAGGCCCTGAGTATTGCCAGAGTCCTCCTTATATTACTGATGATATCTTTACTGAGGGCTTCGCTGACAAGAGCCCAGGGATCAGAACTGCCCATAAAGCAGATGGGAAATTACATCTCATCCTAGGCCCTGCGCTCAAATGGCCTGTCTGTTGATGCAGCGGGCTTGTGGTGTCTTTAAACAGGGACTTAGCCTTTGACCCCAAACCCCCCCAACCTTATACGATTGCAGTGAGGAAGCTACTGGAGGTAATCAAAGCGGGCCGAGTACAACTGAACAACTGCACTGACTGGAGATCAGTCTCAATCCTGGGAGTCTGATGGCTGGAAGGAGATATCTAAGACTCTGTCCACACACTAGGCCTGAAAAACCTTAATAACGTCAAGCCTGTCATTGATAGAGTGAGATCTAGGCTGTCGTATTTGCGGAGGTGTGCCTCAACAACAATCTTTACAGCCAAAGACATGAAATGCTACCTTAATTGCGAAATAATGCTTTGTGGGCCGTTCCAATATTTCATGCAGTGAAGATTTAGTTTGACTAAATATCAGCCGGGGGTTGGAATGAGTGTGTGAGAGAAAATCATTGTGCCGTAATCCCTTAAACCCTTCAGGGATGGCCTCTGACCAGGGCATATGAGATCCACTACCCAGCGCTAATCTGTTCCCAACACTGATGAACCCAGAAAGTGGCTCTTGCGGTTAACAAACTGTCCACGGATGGATTATCCAGTTTGCAGCAACGCAAAGTTCAGAACACAGCAGCTGTAATCCCAGTGTCTCCATGACACACGTGCTGAGGCCTTGCACTCAATAAGCGCAAGCTTGGCCCAAAGAATTGTGTTTATCCATTCATCCATGCTCATTCCTCCCCCTCTCTGTGACACAGGCACTGATCACTTTATCCCTCTGTTCTAATGGCAGAGAGACAGAGCTAGCACGCTTCCGCCACGCACGGCACAAATCCCTACTGACCTGGCTGACCACTGACTGACCAATATCTAAAACACTATTTGCAAGAAAAAAAAAGAGAAAAGAATTTAAAACTCCAAACATTGTCGGGGCTGGTGAGCATTACATAATCAAAGTATGATTTAAGTTACAAGTCATGCATTACTTGTGAATTTACTATATAGTATTTTTCAAATACAGTAGGTAACGTTGTTATTTAATTTATTTACCGACAAATACTCCTCCCTTCTTCATGCTGGGAGAAAAGGTGGCGTATTTAAAGTGGGCATGCAGGGGGTGTTGCAATATGTGTGAAGCATGATGGGTACTGTAGTTCAAGAGTATGTCATTTGGTCCCACTTTATATTAGGTGGCCTACTATGTACTTACATTTAAATTAATCATTTGGTACAATGCACTTAATGTGTACATGTTTTTACATTGTACTTACATTTTAAAAATACCTGCATGTAATTACATCTGTAATTAATTTCTATAATTACATTTATAATTACACTGTTGACCCATCCCTTACACCTTAACCCACTCTTAAACCTACCCACACCACCAAACCTGTCCCTAACCTTACCAGTATCCCACCTCAATAGCTGCAAAAGTGTTTTGCAATAAAATATGAACACAATAAGTACATTGTACTTATTTTTTGATGTAAGTACATAGTAGTTAAGGCCACCTAATATAAAGTGGGACCTGCAATTTTTATCAGTAACATTTACAGACCAAGTGTTCAGCAAATGTTACCCACATGTCATTACAACATATCATTGCGGAACACAAAAGGAAAGAAGTCATAGAGGTTTAGAATGGCATGAGGGTGAGTAAATGATGACATTAGTTAGCTGATGGAGAGAAAAAGTTATGCAAAATTGTACCCATAAAAAGAGTACAATTTATCATTTCCATAAGTTACTTTATACAATTGTAAAATGTTACATATAAAAGTAAACTTAAAAGGGGTAACCAGACATTTTTAGGTCTATTTATAATTGATCTAACCAATACTCAAACCATGAATAAATGCGTAAACAAAACCATTTAATTTTATGAAGCAGTTTACTTTCTTTTAGTTTAAGAGAATAAGAAAAAAGGTAACACTTCAGAGTTTTCCCTCAATAATCTCCTAATTTGCTGCTTATTAATAGCTAGTAAGGTAGTTGTTAAGTTTAGGTATGGGGTAAGGGATCTAAGATGCAGAATAAGGCATTAATATCTGGTTTATAAATACTAATAAACAGCCATTATGCTAGTCATATGCATGCAAATAAGCAACTAGTTAATAGCGAGAATAGGTCCTTAAAATGAAGTGTTACCAAAAAAAAAAAGAGGAAGTTTTTATAATTTAACATTCTCCAGCGGTGATACTAAAAAA